TTATATATGTAGTTAAGTAATTTAATTCGATGATGAATAATAATTCCTTGCACGTGAACTTGTAAACTTCTGTAATATTGCAAATATTCCTTGTACGTAACCGTTTCGTTTCGTACAAAGAAGAATGATTCCTCCAGCGAAATTTGTTACGGAACTACGATTTAGTAGACGACTCAAGGAAAATTTATTTATTTTGCATCACAAAAAATATTGTGTTACTCCAAGTTAATGCTTCCATTTAATTCATCGCAAATGTCCAAGTTGAAAAAAAATATTGCTATAGGTACAGCAATTTTTCCTTATCTAGTGGTAATTTGCCTTGATATAGAAGTCCTCCTGAACTCACTGCTGGGGCACAGGCCTTCCTTATGGATATTCCATCCAGGCAGATTGGGCTTTGACCCACCACGAGGGCCCAGTGCGGATTGAAAGTTACTAACGACTGCAGATGCAGCCGGGACCAACGGCTTTCCAAGCACAGAGGTGCTCGAGATAGTAAATTTTTGGTCACCCATCAAATGACCGACCACTGCGAAAGTTGCTTAACCTCGCAGCCGAACGCGCTAACCACTTACGCCATCGAGCTCCTCAACACATTTATATTTTCTTTCAGTCTAAGTAATTTATCGACGTTAAGACTATGCACCCCTACCGGTGCGATATGGTTGAATATCAACAGGTTGTGTCGACACCGCATGCCGGTAGCCAAAGGGCTATTTACATCTTACGACTACCGTAACGGCCCACTGACTTGCTTGCACCAATCGCCGTCGATTCTAGTGATGTCTCTTCATTTAAATTCAATGTCTCTTCGTTTAAATTCAATTGCATATCAAGGTAAGGAATGGAATAGGCAATAACCGGATAATTTATAAGAAAAAAAATATAACCAACACCGGTTGTTTGTACCTACTATAATTAGAAGATTTTTATCTAAGATGATCTTTCTACACAAAATTGTATAATTCTACACCGAAACAAAGCGAGGGCAAGTCACTAGTATTTGTTTGTTGGCTCATTAAACTCATTTAGATTAAGATATAATAGGACTGACATGTTCTCTTTGTACAAATGTCCTTTATAATAATAAATATCGTCTTCGATAATATCGAAACATTTATGATAAAAAAAAAACTAGGCCAAAAAAGAATGACTTCGATATATATAAATGAAGTGGTATCAGTGAAATAAAAATAAGTTTTTAAAAAATGCATTATTTTAAAGACTCAAATAACGAGTCGCAGTCGCAGAATGTAAATAACTCTCTATTGGGGTGCGCCGGGGCACATTTTTGACGCGCGGAGTTATTTATTCATGAACCGGTAATTACCGAAATTATTTCCGGTTACACGGAATTACGATACATGAACTGTACCGGTGTGGGGTGAATGTTCGGAATGCCTGCGGTCTTATTGGATTTCTTTTACGATGTAAATTAAATTAAACGTTGATGATTATTATCAATGTCAACGACAAAAAACACTAATCATGAAAAAATTGTTTTGTGTTGTTTGTGTTTCATAATAATAGTTTACACAATAATTTTGTATTTGTGTTTATAGATATAAATTTACAACAACATTGTTGAAAAGATATTTAAGATAATTAATGGAAGCTAACTGGTGCCGTTAATGTCAGATCATATAGAAATAAAGAAAACATTTCAATTACTGTCTTATCTTTCTGTTAAATTTCATAGCCTTTTAAACAACAACTTTTTCACAAGCCGATTTCTTAGAATCGCATCGGAAGACAATGTCCATACATAAATCAACTACAACTATCAACCTATCCTAGATTAGAAATCAGGACTTGAATACGCAATCTTTGCCTAAAACTCTCACTCAAAACAATCTTAAAGAAGTATATCTTATTTGAAAGACTTTATTTTATAATAAAAAATCATCCTTACTCCCTGGTATCAGACGGACGGAACTTAAACCCCCCAATTTTGTTCCCTATCTGGGTGGCTGTCTTCCTGGTATGGCTACTGCGGCCTCAACAGATATCTTGGATATTTGTTATTTTATAGTTAATTACAAAAAAACAATTAAAAGATTGCAATGTAAGTACTTAAATTAAATTGTTTATTTTCAATTTTTTTTTAACTAAAGAATACCTGGTCTACTTATTGTATTTTTATTTTTAAAACATTTATCTGCTAGATGTTGAAATCTAAATAAAATTTAACTAGATAAAAAATCGGTCCCACCTGAATGCTGAACCGCGTAGATTTTTTCTAGTAAAACAATAATTTTCAGTAATGTCTTTATCAAATAGAAGCTTAAAAACTGAAAATGACATTAATAGTTTTCATTTTTTCACACAGCGTTAACCTTTTAATGCGTATCTATAGATAATTACCACAACTAATAAGACTTACAAATCACACGGCCCATGGTTTTCCACAAAGCGGAGAGTTTTCACTCGCCTGTCGAACAACTATAGGCACGAAAGTATATCGACCCAGCGTATCCCCGATGGCGAATTATAAAGAACCGGAAACACCGGAACAATTTCGAGACGGTTCAGCGACTCACATGGTCTGTGGCCAGAGACAACGGAAGCCGCACTTAGGCCACTCTTATTCGATTGCGGATAAAGTCGGTTTTTGTTTGCCGTCCCGCAGTCGGTCGGTTTTTGTTTCGCGAGGACGTCATACCATCTCTATATCGCAATCCTCCAAAATGACCGCAAATTGCCGTGAACATAATGGCGAAGTGACCATTCTGGCGCGGTATTGTATATTATGTATGTATGTATATGCAACTGAAATATCGCAAGAGGAAAATTGTATAGCATGATTCAGTATCTATAAATGCCTATGTTTATCTGGATTCAGGTTAGCGAATCGATGTTAATTTAAAGTCATAATTTACAAGAATAACTGATAACCATAAACTCAAGTAAAACTCTGAAAAAACAATATAAAGAAAACAACGAAATTCGGAATTCAATCCGATTTCAAAATTGGTACCTCTCTAGCTAATCACAACTTTTTGCACCAAAACTCCTTCGAATTTTTACTTTTTTAATTTTTATACTTAATAGAGTACCTTTAAGTCGATTTTTACAAGATAATATGATTTTTAATTTGTGATGTCCAGTATCTATGTTGTGATTTTTTTTCAAAACGGCCCAAGCAGGCGAGGCGTGACGTGGTCGCAAGTGGTCACGCAGCATCGGAAGCCGCCCGCCATTGATACCATCTCATTGTGTCACAAATGACGCCGGATGTTGCCAGAGACGAGAGAGTGGCATGACTCCACGGTACCCACCTACCTATGACAGTACAATCTTCTAGGAGATATCAAAAAAATAATAAACTAATTCCAATAACTAGAAGGCGATGTTAGGAAGAAACTACCTAATTACCACTGTTTTAATCTAAGCCTGGCTAATTTCTACACAGCACCAGGCTCAATAAATAATATAAGTAATTTAAAAATTTCCGAAAAAAGATACTTATTATTGACAAAATCTGTACAGTCAAAAAAAGTCACAAAACTTAGGAAGGCCTTACACAGTCTAAATCATAATCTGTATTCATATATTAATGCATATTACTAATTCAAGGCGTACTGAATTACATACAATCTAACTAATATTCACACACATTATGATTTTAGCGGATTGATCTTACAGAATGAAACTGCCAAGAAGCATTATGAATTCATAATTTGAAAATTTAGATTATGATTAACTATCGCACTTCTTCTCATACATTATCTACGACGAGCACACAGTATCTGGATCAGATTATGATTTTTTTCAGTTGACATAATCTCTCCAATGGCTTTCGCTAGATAACTGATCAAACCATAGAGCAATACTGGATTAAACGAAATTTACCAATAAGACTTGTGTCAGTCAAAACACCAGAATTCCGATAATTCATAATAGGGATTCAGACTGTGTAAGGCCAGCCTTACATTTGCTTCGTCCAAGATATTCCAAAATCTGAAAGTAAAATAAAATAAAAAATGGCACTATTTCCCGTACCGTACATGTGAAATGGATACAGCTCGCGCCACAGCGTGTCTCACAGAATTATTTCTGTCATTTTTAGCTTCATTGTCCACCTGAATGCGAAGTCACGCTCCAAAAGGAATTAATGTCTGTACGGTACATATACCTACACACATAGCTTTTGTCATGTACGGATACAGCCAGCATTGGTCAAGATAATCATCTATGGGCGTTCTCTATAGCACAAAGATTCGTATCATTCTGAGCCTTCCAATATAGTTTTTATTTTTTTTCGTAACCTTTTTATGTATACATGTATATAGTTGCCCTATGTGGACACTATTATGCTGAGATTCCATAAGCGTTTCTATCAAGTTACTGTAACAAAACAATAGTAATTTCTTACCCCACATCAAATTAATATTAAAAAATCATAACTTCTACATTGAAATACCTAGTTGATTCAAAATTGTAAGAAAATAACCATCGAAAGATTTAAAGATTTCTTTAAACCATTTTTTTACTGTAGTACCTAGGTGTAGGTATGTATCTACAAATAAAATCGAGTTCAATAAACGTCGTATTTGTTACATGGAAAATCTTGTAGATACCCATAAACTCTAATCGTAGGTACTTTAATCGTAGTTCCAAAGTAATTTTGTTACACTACCGAATTTCTGTTTCACATGGTGCCTACTGTCATTATCTGAAATTATTAAATTACAAACGTTGTTGCTTTCGGTGCTGATATCGATCTAGGAAAGGTCGCTCTTTTCGATAAAAATCGGTCTTCAAGTCTAAGTACCTATATAAAATTATTTCTAATTTCTGTTGCCCCAACGTAAAAGCTCTACATTATAATCATCCAGTTTTATCATTCCATTTATTTTTGTTTAGTAAATTATGTAAATTTTATTTTGAATATTGGGAAGTCGCTAGTGTAGTATTACAAGACATCGCCAGCGCCAAAGTGCGCGCGAGTGTGCGCACGCGGCGCCGGCAGGTGTGTGACGCTCCCCTCCTTGTTGCAGAGCGTTCGATGCGGCGCACGTAGCGCGGGGCCCAGCCCGCCGCCCGCCCGGCCAATCAGGGCCCGTCTCGCCTATGATGTCATCGGAGGAGGAGGCCGACTCGGCGCCCTACTCGGATAAGCTCCTAAAGAAACAGAAGCGCGCGAGACAGCGCGTGGACGCCGGTGAGCCGCGCAATTCTTATTCCACTCTCGCGACGAACGGACTCGCGCCCGCGCGCGCCGCACACATGAGCGGCGGACTGTACGGCGCCATCTTCGAGGGCCGGCAACACTTCGGCATCTTCAGACCGGGATACGCGCCGGCCGACATGCTCAACGAACTGTTGGGGCGAGCGCCCGCCGACGCAAGTGACGAGCCTTCCGGCGGGGACATAGCGCACCGCGTTCTGCGCGACATCTTACAGAATCGTAACAAGGAATTTCTGCGTCTCTCGCCGGACAACAACAATGTGCTCGCAAACAACAACAACGACGAGCCCAAGGAGAAGCGTTCGCCGGAGCGGCCGGTGTCGCGCGAGTCGCGGCCCGACCTCGACGACGCCTTGCTTGGGCTAGACAGCGCCGGTGACTCCCGGACATCGCCACCTCCAGCTCAATCTGCAGCCGAACCTTTGCTCGCTCCCAAATCCGAACCGGAGGACCGTGATAGTGACGCGCAGCGCTCCTCGCCGCGACCGCTTGATGTGAAACGTGCTCGTGTTGAGAACATTGTGTCGACTATGCGTGCAAGTCCCGCGCCTCAGCAGCCCCAAGTGAACGGTTGCAAGAAACGGAAATTGTACCACCCTCAACAACACGACGGAGCGGCGGAGAGATACGGCACCAGTCACGGGAGCAGTGCTCAGACAGTGTCGGACGATTCCGAGGACGACAACGAACGACAGCCGCCTATCCAACAAAAGTTAGTAGAAAAGAATGCTTTAAAATCACAACTTAGGACTATGCAAGAGCAACTGGCCGAAATGCAAGAAAAGTATATGCAATTATGTAATAGAATGGGACAGGAGTCCGAGACGATCGAGAACGACGGTGCTTCTAGTGACGTAGAACAGAACGATGAGACAGTGCCCAAGTCGGAGCCAGCGTCGCCTGCCAAGGAAGTGCCCCCGCCGATACCAAGCAGTGCACCGCCAAACATGCTCTCGCAAGTGATGAGCAAGATGATGTCAGCCAAGATGCACGCGCACGCGGCGGCGCACCCGCACCTTCCGCCCGGCTTCAATGGCACGCTGCCCATGTTGCCGCACCTGCCGCCCACCGACCATATCCATCCACCGCATCCGCACCAGCACCTCAACAACGCCGCCGCCATGTACCTCAATGTAAGCCAGAAACTATTCCTAGAACAAGAAGCCCGCATGAAAGAAGCGGTCGAACAGCATCAGCAACAAAATAATCAACAACAGAGGCCACAATCCAATCAGCATTCGCCCCAACAAAGACAAATGGGCCCGACACCGAAGCCCCCAATGTCTTCAGAGTTGGCGGAACGGCTGGACGCATTGAGAAGCAACAGCGGCTCTGTGGGTCCCGTAACGGGCGCAGACTTGGAGGGATTAGCCGAAGTTCTAAAAAGTGAGATCACCGCGTCGCTGGCCACCCTCATCGACTCAATCGTGACGCGGTTCGTGCATCAGCGCCGCATTATCGGGAAGCAATCGGAAGCGGCGGCGGCGGCCGCTGAGCAGCTCAACAAGGACCTGATGCGGGCGACGCGGATGTTGGAGAGAAAGTCGCCTACGCCGAAGATGCCGGAGCGGCCGTCCGGGCAGATGTCAGGTAACAACCCCGTCCATCATCCGGGTGCGCCGAACGGCGTACCGTTTATTACGCATAACCCGATGCTGATGAGTCAGATGAACGGCCCCCGTGCGCCAGGCGGCGCGGCGTTCCCGCTGCACGCCGAGGCGGGCGGGCCCGGCCACGGTGCTCAAGTGCGGCCGCCCACAGGCATGTTCCAGACGCCGCCCAAGACGCTCGGCTCGCTGTACAGCGCGATGAACGGCCACTTCGAGCGTGAGAACCCCGAGCAGAACGAGGCGCTCAGCCTGGTGGTCACGCCGAAGAAGAAGAGGCATAAGGTGACCGACACGCGGATCACGCCGCGAACCGTGAGCCGGATCCTGGGGGAGGGCGTTGGCACACCAGAGACGAAGTTCCCGGAGTCGCCGTCACCGCGGCCATACCCCGGCGGGATGGCGCTCCCGACGTCAGTGGCTATTCCTAACCCGTCACTGCACGAGAGTCAAGTGTTCTCGCCGTACTCGCCGTTCTTTGGGGCGGGCGGCGGCCTGGCGCGGTCTCCGCCGGCGCCGGAGCGGGACTCGCCGCCGCTGCCGCACGCGCCGGTGCTGCTGCACCCGGCGCTGATGGCAGCAGCGCACCACGCATCACCCGACTACATGCGCCACCACCACGCGCACGCGCCGCTCCACGCGGCCCAGCATCACCCGCAACACATGGACGTGCAGGACCCACACTCCGACTGCAACTCCACAGACCTGCCTTACGACGGAGTCCAGCCTACTATATCCTTTTCAATACGAACTAAATATTTTTAAGATTAAGTATATTGCGAAGAAGTCACATCAAACTTTAAATTTCTCATATCCACAATTATAAATTTATTTCTCAAGTCGATTCAAACTCTCAAACAGAAACAAAGAAATTAACCTTCTTATTGCAACAATCTAAGTTGGGTCAAGTCGGCGTTAAACGTAACCCGATATTTGTTTAGGGCACAAATCCTCAGCCGCAAATGGCCACAGATATCTTATTTCTGTAGTATTTAACCTTACGACTGCCGCCGCCTGTTTCCTACTTAGCAGTTACGACTGTGGAAACCTCACAAGTGCTGCGGTTTCTACGTTTTCCACCCTGACGGGTATCTATTGTGTCCTCAACTAAGATTGGACAAAGCCTTACACACCACCACTCTGATTTATTAATTCGAAACATTTAAGTTCTTCAAAAATAGAATTGAAATACAAAATCTTCATGGTCGAAAGACTGAACAGACTACGAATGACCTCATCCTTTTATTAAATTAAGAAAAAAAATCTTAAAGCTATACCTACGCAGGCATAGGATAAGGCACATTATAAGATTAGAAATGCAAATGGATTAAGACTTTGTGGTGCTTCATCAATGAACGTACGAACCAAGACTGGAATAGAATAGTAATCAGATTGACACCATCATGTATGTTATATTCATGTTTGAACTTAACAAAACCAACTTTTAAAGCTCCATTTAATCCATATAAAATCACAAAGTCAAAACAAAGTCATAATTTCGACTTTATCGTTAATTTAGATGTCGTAAATGCCTAATGAGATCAACTAAAGGTTATCCTTGTTTACACTTAAACAGTTAAAAAGGCAATATCATGTAGGTACACAGATTTTTTTTTATAGTTCGTTAATATTATCGCAATCGAAAAGCAGTCCTTTGGTTATCACGAAATACTTTCCGTTAGCGTACTGATTTGATTTTGTAGGTTTTTTTTCATATTGATGCTAATTATAATAATTTGATAACGATAGTGATGTGACTTAATGATTTAATTCGTTCGAATGCACTTTTTTAATTATTAATTATTTTCAAGCGAAAATTTACTTGTTACCTTCATGCATGAATCAATATCTTTCATGCCAGCATGACATAAGGATAAGATTTCTGTTTATATAGCATCTTTGATTGAGAAGCATTTCGCGAAAAAATATTTATAAATATTAGAGTTCGTAAAATACCTGTTTTAAGGCACATATTTCAATGACCATCAAAAAATAGTAGTTGAACCTAAAAATACAATCGGTAAAACAAACTAACCTAATTTGTACTTTTATGTGATTATTTATATTATTTTTTGAAGATAACTTAAATGTTTCCCTTGTTTTGATCGATTACTGATCACGTAAAAATATTTTTCTTCATTTCAAAAATTTTTCTTTATTGTTATTGATGTTTCGGATCATCGAGCCTCCTTTGTCATAAGACAAAATATGGTCATCTTTTTATTAACTTAATTAACTATCTTCTCAAATTATTGATTAAAAAAGAAAACTTGGCTAAACGCGATTCATTACTGTTGATATTATAATAGCAAAGCTAGATTCGCAAACTACTTCAACTTTCAGCTATAACATTTTACTTTAATATGTATGAGTTTATATATAAGCCACAACATTCCAATAGAGCCTTTAACTCCCGTGCACTCCTCAACATTGACGCCAATGCACCTGCGCAAGGCGAAGCTGATGTTCTTCTGGGTTCGGTACCCGAGCTCTGCGGTGCTGAAGATGTACTTCCCAGACATCAAGTTTAACAAGAACAACACGGCGCAGCTGGTGAAGTGGTTCTCCAATTTCAGGTATGTCTCAAGATAATTTGTATATGAAAAAAAAAACAACTTGTCTCAGGTTTCAGACTAAAATAAAACCTCATCAAGCCTTTCGCTAACCGAGAAACTGCTCGTCCTGCCAATAAAAAAAAAGTATTTATGTTACCGAAACCATGGACCTATACATTGGTCTATACCGAAGCTGTAAAGACTTATTGTTTTTTTTTTTCAATTCTATATTTTTTTATAATGCTGCGGACACTGGTACTTTCAAAGGAAAAGCGAGTTTGAAAATTCAATTGTATATAATTGTTTTTATTATTGGATTTTTGTAAAATTATAGGATTTCATTAGCTAGGTACTAAAGCTACCTAATCAAAATACTGTATCGGCATTGGTGGAGAATTAATAGAACTGTACCTAATATCCCTAATATTGTATTTCACACTGACGAACTTTCAAAACATGCGTCATTGCATGAATATCTAAAATTGTGCGTTAACACACTGTAATTTAATTACATAGAGGCAAACGTTATATTGACAGACAACCCTCCCATCTGTAACGTAAATTTAAAACGGTTAAAGGGTTAGATTCACTATTTCCTGATCAAGATTTCGCGTAAGAATCTATAGCTATAGGTACTTCATAATTATTAACCCCTATGTTTGGGGACAACATTAATCTTACAAAACTTTGTGAATAAACTCGAATATAATAAATATTTATTGTTTTATAATATAGTATAGTTCAGTACGTTTTTTTTCTCTAACTTTAGTAGCTCTCACTCTATCGCCAAAACATCCGTCTCATACACCCATACTGGTTGTTAAAGAATAAATAAATACCTAGTAGGACATAACTAAGGATGTGGCTGTATGAAAATTTATACCAATGCTTCTGTTAAATTGTAGGTGAACTTAAAAAAACACAAAACAATCAGAAAATCAATCGAAAAGAAAAAAAACAATTATTCAAGAAAACCATTGGCATAAACGTATAACTATATACATTGATATAACTAGAAAAATAAAAATGTAGAAAATTAAGTTATACTTATTAAATGCTTGAAACTGATTATAGTAATATAAGTTATTTACGGGATTGTTACCATGTGCCTTGTTTTTAGCGAGTTTCCGATGTTTCGGCACTGTTGCAAGCGCCATGATCACGGTGTAACTGAAACAGTGCCGAAATATCGGAAACTCTCTAAAAAAAAGGTAGATGGTAACAATCCCGTAAATAACTTATATTCCTATAATGTTAGTGACCGTGAAAGTTTAAAACAATATATTGAAACTGATTGTTGTAAATTCATTTATTTCTTAAAATAAACCTGTAACTGAAGGAAATAATTTTAGGATCACATTCTATCTGCTCTGTAACGGTGATATTTTCCTCGTGATAAGTTTATGGAGTGACAAATATAGAATTTTTACGAGGAAAGTTTCGAATATATTATTATAGATATTGTTATTTAATTAAAGACTGGTGTCAATCAAAATAATTAATATAAATAGCAATAAAACATTTAAGATTATTACAGGAAAAAAACTAATATTCAAATGATATTTTATTAAAGAAAAGTATATTAAAATGTCCTCCACAACATATAACAACAATTAATTAAACATAAATAAATCATAAACCTTTTGGTTTTTGGAGTTTACTCCTTAAGAATCGATTTGCATATATAAGGGGCCCGGTATGAGAAAAATGTGAGGAGTAAAATCTATCGATGAATGACCTCGTAACGTTTTTGGTGCGCATCCTATGTCGCGCAACTTTGACAAACAAAGATGACGGATTGACATTAATATTTTTTTTTTAATCTGAACTGAATTTATAATAATAATAATAAATAATAAATGTGTCTTATTTTAGTTACCATAAATCACTTGTCACTGTAATTAATAATGCAGAAAATGTTGATTTAATTAATATTTAAAAAAACGATAATAGTCAGATAATAATAATTACATAATTTATCAACATTCCTAATGATATATTTATGCACATCTGAAATTGACTATTGTAAAAAGTTTAATGTAAAATATTTCGTCGATTAGTTATAATAAATGTATATGAAATGAATATATATATATATATATATATATTTATATATGTATATTATTTTCATTAATTTGTTAATTTACCCTTTCATACAGTATCAATCTTTTTTAAGTTAAATAAACTCTTTTTGCGTCTGGTTAGACTATCGAACTTAAGGAGTAAACTCCAGTCGTGCGTCGGAGATGACACACACAATTTTTTTTGTTTAAGATTAATATTATATTATAATCGTGAAACAGTCCTAACATAATTGTCTGAAAATAAATATAATGTATTTGGAAAAATGTTTCCATCACATAAATAACGCGCAAAAGAAAACTTAGACCTGAAATCTGTATCAGAAAGCTCCCTCAATATTGATTTCTACTTGACTAATTTTCCGTTATCTGGGTCGCTGATAAAAGCACCTGCTAAACATAACCCTTCTTTGCTTTACCTATCTGTATCTACACTCAACTGTATCTATCACCCTCTCTTTCGAATATGTTAAATGTGCGAAAGACAAATATATTAAAATGTAGGTCCACTTCAAGCGATACTATTTGAAGCTTTATAACAATATTCATTAATCTTTTTTTTTTGTTAAAATACTAACCTTTATGTGATAATTGTGTTTCGAATCTGTAGAACAAAATATTTTGTGTCTTATTATAAACGAGTTGACCTGACGAAGTTCATACCGCCATTTTTTCCCCGATTTAAAATAAATAAACACAGTACGGACAGAATATTATTAAATAAGTTGAAATTTGAATAATAATAATAACATTGTTAGGAGACAAATTGTAAAATCATTGAATAATAAAAAAATGTAAAAAAAAGCATTAGCCAATTCGGTGCAGACTTCCGTAAGTTATGTGCTTTCATACATACGGCTATTCATTGTCAGTAATATAGACGATATAAATATATATAGACGATATAATAAAAATATATAGTATAAACATGAAACCGGGAAAATATACCATTTCATTAATAGACTAGTGCCACTGTTAAGATTCAAAGAAGCACGGATAATAAAATTCTAAGTAGCAAGTATACATAATCGTATATTGAAAGTTTCTTATACTTTTGTTACAATAATATGTCCTGTAGCGATGGCGTTGTCGTTTTCAATTCATCGTTTTGGAATCAAAATCATCCGCTAGCCAACGATAAATATCGTTGCCGCTAGCTGTCAAAAAGCATTGTGTCGCTTCGCTTTCAGTGTCTCCATGCTTTAATGTCAAAGCAGCACGCACGCGTCACTGTTAGCGTAGCACTTCAGCCACGTATCACCTTCGATATTAAACGTTTCCGACTATCTCAAGCTTGTAATCTAGACTTAGATAAGCCGTCCGTAAAAGCACAGATAAGCTAGCTTTTCCATAAGCTTATTAAAACTGGCACGATAAATGTGTATCTTGAATATGTACTGGATTTAATATTGCCAACTTACCTGTTTCCCTTTTACGATTTTTTTTATTTATTTGTTTATGTAAAACAATATGCACAGTAACTTAAAAATATCCTACTGGCCAGATTCTTGTGTAGATTCTTGCTGGTAATTAAAAGAAAATCAGCTTTGACGTTTTCTTTTATACAGGATGTAGAAAAACCTTTAACGAAGTCGAAGGCCACGTATTTTCCACATCATGACGATCATTTTTTTCTTCTGGACCATACCTGGGAAATTTATGGTTATGGAGATATGGAAGATCAAAGTCACAACTTTTTTTTTCAAGATTTATACATTAATATTTTCAAAACTTTTTTATCGACGCACTTACACACACGCATACACATAGACACAGGCACATTCTTTGCGCAGCGCCACAGTAGCGCGCCGCGCTATACATTGCATACTGGGAAAAAAAATTAAGTTAAAAAAACAAATGATTCCCACGTATATTTTTTTGTAAAATTACTTGTTTGGGTGTACAGAATGCGTAGCTTCAGTCTTTGTCATAGGTTTTTTTACACCCTGTATGGATGATAAATAGAAGTGTGCTTTTAACCTAACCAAACTATTTTTGCTATAGCTATGTTTGTTCATAAGTATAGTGTACGGTTGCTTTTAGTTCGTAGATATATTATGTGCACAAGTATACTTAAAAAATAAACTGTCTAATCATTGAGAGAGCACTTTTCAACACTATGTCCAACCAAAGTTATGAATGTGAAATGATGTTTTCATGGTTTCTTTGAAACTCGACTTCGGACAAGCTAGTCCATTACTATTGTCCGTTAATGCCCCCTATTGTGGACAACGGAAAACGGCCATTTCCTTGCGATAAACATCTCTGAAAGCTGAAGGGGTGAGGGGGTCATTCTACAATAGCACGACACCGGCTACGGAACCAAATGAACAAGTGACTGTCGTTTGAAAAGTCCCATCACTATTCTCCGGGTAAACCATTAAGCCTTCCAGACTATTACCATTTTTTTTATAAACATTTGAGTCTAGTATTTTTCATTCAAATCTGAAATAAACATCTATCAACTATGAATCATAATAAACTGATAAACATTGACTTTATTAGCGCAAAAAAGCAATCCATGCATTCAACACGAGTATAAGAAAAAAAAATAAAAAAAATAAACGAACAAGGTTTGAAGGTGTCTATTTTTTTTAATAAAAGTTTGCTTATAATGAATATGTTCTGTATAAGCTTATGGTTTCATTGTAATAAGGCATTTTTTACAAAATAAGTAGCATTCTTCTAGCATTCGTTTATTTTCGAATAATATTATTAACTTAATTTTCCCGATAAAACAGAATACGGGGCCACCCTAGCACGACACCTTTACAGCAGAATGGTGCACCTATTGCATTTTAAATTTACGGAAAACATCGATTAGTGTGCGGTTAATTAGTCCGCCGCGGTCGTTTAGGGGGAGCGATTACAAACCAACGGTTAGCGCGTTCGGCTGCGATCATTGAAGTTAAGCAACTTTCGCAGTGGTCGGTAATTGGA